AGAACACTGGAGTGGGCTGCCATTTCCTTCTCCAATGCATGAAAGCGAAAAGGGAAAGTGAAGTCGCTCAGTCGTGTCCGACTCTTAGCGACCCCATGGACTGCAGCCTACCAGGCTCCTTGATCCATGGGATTTTCCAGGCAGGAGTACTGGGTGGATGTCATTATATCTTCCTAAATCTCTCTTAAGTTCTCTTCTCTGAATTGACATTTCCTCTATGTTCAGTTTTTTTCATCTGTTAATATATCCTATGCTTTTCCTTTATGCTAATGATTTTTCCTTTATATCTGATGATCTTTGGTATCTGTTTTTTTAAATGAAGGACTGGGTACAAATATGGTGTCTTTTCCTCGTCTGTTGGGTAAGTAACTCTATCATTAGCTATTTTGTCATCTGAGCAGAAAGCCCATCAAGAACTTTGTGTATGTGGCTAAAACATATTAACTGGCAGCTTATATTTAGGGTAAACAGGCAAAATACATGAATTCACCTGTCAGGCTGTCAGACTAATTGCCAGAAAGAGAATAAGCAGGTTAACAGTATCCACTGTCTTTTCTCTTTCCAGATGGTTTGTTCAGTATTTTTTCTCAGAGACAGTACCACATTTTTTTATTTTTTTGTGGTTAATGCTCAGCAATATTCATTTTATGTGGAATCTACATCCTGTTTGGCCCAAGTGTTTTACATATGAACCTTCGATGATTTCTCCTGGGTTATATTTTATTTCACCCCCTTCCCAATACGCTGATTCAGTGCTCTCAACTCCTCTTGAGTTTTGTTGTCCAATAGAGTCTATATCTCCTACAGCCCACGGTAATGTTTTCAAACAGCTGTTTCGAATCACTTTTCATCTTCTCTAAGTTTGTTGAAATCTCTAATCTGTTCTTTCAGTCTCACCAGTGACCTGTACACACCGCTGATTACAATGGTCAGTTCTCTGTCCTTATCTTGCTTGACCTATCATCGGCATTTGACACATTTGATGGCTCCTTAACACATGGTTTCCGGGCCACTACATCCTCGATCTCTTTCTCTTATCTCATTAGTCGCTGCTCTGCATCCTTCTTTGCTGTTCTTCCTCTTCTCTTCCATGTCTTCTTAGACTGCTCCACTGCAATCTGATCCTCTTTCATTCCCTATATATATAATACATATTCACTTCCTTGGCGATCTCACGACTAAGGAAAAACCACACGCCCAGTGATTCTCATGTTAGTCTTCAGCCCAGACCTCTTTCCTGAATTCCAGACCAGCACAGTCCATATGGGAGCCTCCAGGCTCATGTGACGGTGGAATACTCGAAATGTGTTTTGTGTGACTTAGAAACTAAATTTTTAATTTTCCTTCGTTTCCATTTAAATTTAAATAGCTAAAAAAAAAAAATTAAATAGCTACACATGACCAGTAGCTGTCATTGTGCACAAGTTCAGACCTATCTCTACTTTGATGTAAATCTTTATTATCTGACATCAGACAAATCAGGTGTTAACGATATTAAGACAAGGTTCTCCATTTTTTATTTAAGCACAAATAATGCTTTTAATATTAAAACTTTCCTGAATATATCATCCTGAAGATTTCATGATATTTCATCATCATGATTGTGCAGATGTTATTAACAAGCAGTATTGATTAACTTGAATAGAGAGTCCAGAAGTTTCTTATTTTTCATATTTAAATTAGTACTACATATTCTAGTAGCACTTAGCCAAGAGGTCAGAAACACTGAATTTGGATTCAGATTCTGTTTCTTATGCTATGACCTGGAGCAGGTTATTTCATCTTAGTGACTTGTCGTTTGAAAATAGAGGATAGGAAAGTGTTTACTACAAGTGAAAGTTTTTAAATACCAACCTATGTTTGACTTACAATGCAGTAGAGTTATAGATAGTATCTTTATGACTATATCCAGAGCTGTTTTAATCATTGAACTTTTTGATTTTTAACTTCCCACTAAACTTTAGAAAGAGAAATCACTAGGCTCTTACAATTAAATTTAGTGAATGTCTTAAGTGAAAATTCATGTTCTTTTAGTACATAAATATTTTTTTCAGAATACAACTTCTAGGCATACTAATTAAGACATTTCCAAGACAAAAGGAGTTTTTATTACTTAATCCTAAGGTAGGAGACGTTGAAGGTTTCAGCTTCCCTATCAGAACATAATTCATATCATGATAGAAATCATGAATGTTTTGTACTTTACTGCTGTGCCTCCAGGGAAAATTGATAGTATCAGTAACCAATCTACTCAGGGTGAGGATTAGAGGAAGAATTACAACTACTTTATATTGACTGCATCAGGCAAGGTGGGAGGGCAGGTTATAAAATGGCAAAATTATTTTCGAGCAGGCCTAACTTATGGTCTGTTTAATATCAACCATAAGACATATTTTACTGTTTTTATAAGTTCATATTGAAATTGACAGTTTTTCCATTTTTAAGGTAATTAGGCATACAAAAAGATTTTGTGGGATATATTCCCGAATATGTTCTTACGAGGTTTTCTGTACATTTTTTTTGTGATAATAAACTTAGTGCCTGGTCTTAAAGGAAATGAGTATTCTATAATTTCAAATCCTTTCTTCAGTTGCTAGATCTTATGATTATTTTTAGTTTTTCAGCACTATATAATGTATCAAAACGTTGACCATATCTCTGACAATGAAGAATAGTTTAGTTCATGTTTAAAGTAGAATAAATTTTACTCCATATTAGTCATCTATATGCATTCCTTTCCTTTATATATCTACACATTAGCATTTTCACAACACTGTCCATGCCAGTCTTTATGTTCTGTTATTCTGTGAAAAGTTATGACTTTGAAAATTAATTGTATTTTTATTGACTAATCTTGCTTAGAGTAGGCACTACTTAGAATGAAGAAAGCAGCTCTTTATGTTTCCCTTCCCCTGGTCATGGGGAAAAATGAAATACCATTTATATCATAAAAATAATAATTTTTATTTCCTTTGTAAATTTCCACCTCCCAAAGTAACTGTTTTGTGAATTAAGTCTATGACAAGAAATACTTCAGTTTTTAAACATTTTGGTTGTGTCTGCTGAAAGCCCTGGAAATTCAGAGGAGGAGGGTTATATAAATGAAGTTTTCATTTACTCTTACTCAGGTTATACTTTTCTAAGTTGTACTCAGAATAGCCTAAGGCTTCTCGTAGAGTAGCTAACTGCATACTTTTGCATTTTGTGGTTTAGTCAGTTTGGTCTGGATAGTGAAGAGACTGTGATATCATAGAATTTACTGGTAATGTTTTCTGGAAATGAATATCCATCACTTATTGAAAATGTCAACTAACAATGGAAATTAGGTTGAGGAACCAGACCTTCTGGTAATGATAGAGATGTCTAGATAATGTTGATTTGTATTTTCCAGAATTTTAAACATATGTTTTCAGGAAGCTTTTTCCTTGAGTAAAAAGTGAATGAAAATGTAAAGAATTACTCTTTTTTTTTTTTCTGCACGTCTGAGAGCAAAGTTGATGACAAATATGGAAACTAAGAATTGACTAAGTGGAATGACTGGTCATTTTTTTTTTAATAATTTAAGCGGTTTTTGCAATGTAAATGTTTGACAAGTAAAAAGAACATTTTTCTAATGCTCTAATTTCAGTCAATTTACTTTTTTTCAACTTTCTTCTCTGAAAAAAATTCAGTTACAATAATAATATAATAAAATTGAGGGTGATTCTTGACTAGTGTCCATCTTTTTCTTTTTTTTTATCAAAACCAGAAATACTATATTTTAGTAGAAGCGCTCTTAAAAAAACTGTTACTGAGTTTAAAAAATAAAAACGTTTTTATACTTTTATCAAAAATTAATTCATATAGTTTATCAACCAGTGTTGATGGTGAGTTTACTATGTGCGACCTGGACTGTGCCAAGCCCTACGGAAATGGAAGATGAAAGACTACCCTCACAGTCCTCCCAGGCTAGTTGGGGAATCCAGCAGGCAAAGAAGTAGTTATAAGATATTGGAGAGGTGATTTCAACAGGAGATAAGCATAAAAGAGTAAGGAAACAAAGAGAAAGGAATCGGTTTGATTAAAGGTATTAATTCTGTGTTGTCTTTACAATGTAGAACAATATTATCCATTTAAGACTGCTCTAAATGGCAGTTTAGAGTTAGGAATCTGAATTTTGTTGCTGGCCTTTTATATGACTAATATGTCACAAGCCACATCATAACCTTAACTGCTATGTTACTCCTTTCAAATGTGTCTCCCAGGAGTATTCTGGGAATAAGTGAGTTAATACATAGAAAACCCTCCAGTTTCTTTTATATTAATGTGTGTAAACGACAACTGTGTGTGTGTGCTGTGTATACTTGCCCTTCTTTTGAAAGAAATCCCAGTCTTTCACATTTCAAAGCTATTAAATCTAACTAGGCAGTTTTGGGGTTTTTTTTTTTTATCAATTTAGAACTAACAAAGTTTGGGGATTTTTCCAGAGGTGGTCTTGTTTTCCTTTTTTATTCATTTTTCTTTTATTTTTGTAGTAATATTATGAGACTTGATATTTAATGTCTTCTCAGGCTTTTCAATCTGTATATTTTCAAGTGAAGATTTAATAAGTTGAAAATAAAACACTTTAATTTTAAAGTCAGTTATAAATGCACAGTATAACAATTAGGCAAGTTAATGTACTTCTTAATATTCATTGAACTTTGAACAGGGAAAAAATTAATGCAATATAATCATATTTTTAAAATGACTTCTCATTGCTTTGAGTTGTCAAAAACACCTTCTAAATCTTCATGCTTAAGTTCAAAATTTTATTATCTCTCCCTAAAATCTAAATTGTATCTTTCATGACTAGACCTGGGAAAATGAGTTCTCTCTTTCTTATATTCTCAATACCATACCACTGTAGTAGATGAAAATAGCTTTCCATTATTAAAGGCCTTTCTAATATTAACTTTCTTATTTTTTGTATGTGCTTCATTTTTTCAATTATAAACGGTGTTTAATTCCTGCACATGCAGAAACTGAGAATGCAAGATTCATTCATACATTCAGTAAGTACCCAATGCGTGCGTACTTTGTCCCAGGCACAGTTCTGAGTGTTACGTGAATAAATCAGTGAACCAAACAGATAATAATCCATGTCCTTGTTTAAACTTAACTTCCAGCAGCGAGAGACAGACAGTACGCAAATAAACATAGAATAAATAACCACGCAAGGAAAGGGGGTAGCCTGAGCTGGGAAATGGGTTAGGTTGACGTCTTTAATGGGGGGAGGCCAAGGAAAGCTTCACAGAGAAGGTGACACTTGAGCAGAATTTTGAAGAAGAAAGAAAGCCATGTGGTCTGGAAGTATAGCATATACAACCAAGATGCCCAGTCAGGAATATGCTTGGTGTGCATTTTGCACAGCAAAATAAGGTGAATATGGCTGGTGTGAAGGAATGTTGGGGAGAGTGGTAACAAGAGGCCGTATATAAATGAAGTTAAAAGCCTGCCCAATCCCCGGTACTGGCAGGATTCACTAGAGATGTATTTTCAAAAGGGCAAGGTGGGTGGGACTGTGTGGTTTAATACTTGCTATAATTAAAGATAGGAACAAAAAATACTGGAGAGTAGATATGATGTAAAGCAGAAAAGTAATTGTTATAAAATGAGAAGACTTACTTACGAAAGGTATTAGGGCATTCCATCTAGGAAGGCTGTTAAAAGATTATGGTAACTATGTAGTGGGAGAACAGGACTGAAATAAGAAGCTAGAGATGTGAAGTTATTAACGTATTAGAAATTTGGAATATGAATGGTAAGAGCTAGAGAAGTAGAATTTGAGGATAACTAAGGATTCTAATTTTGGTGAATGAGTGAATGGCAATCCATGAACAAAAATACTGAATAGAAATATTGGGGAAATGGTACTGAATTGTATTTTGGATATAATGAGTTTGAGATGCCTGGCAGACATCTGGATTGGGATATCAAACAGCTTGTAGTTCTATTTGAGCCTTATTTATTAAATATCTTACTATGATTCAAGCCCTGTGCCAGGAACCAGACTGCATACTTTGAAATATAGGCTTGGATCATAAGTATAGATTAGGAGTGAAGGGCATATGTGTAGTCTTTAAATCCACAAGAGGAAAATAAGCTGAAAGAGACTGTTGAAGAAACTAAGAACAGTTAGGATGACTGTGAGATCAATAGCTGGGGTATTTGCTGCCTCAAAAGACAATAAAGGAAACACTGAAAATACAAGCACATACAGAAAGCTGTTTTTTGGTGCTATGTCTTTTTTAATATTCCTCACTGCAGGGACAAATCTGAACAAAAAAGAAATAACCTGAATTATATGATTACCCTTCATCTTTTTGTAGCTGTACTTGTGATTTGCAAGGGACTATATAACATTGTTCAAATAACTAATAACAGTATTAAAGACAGATTAAATTATATTTTAAGGATTAAACACCAGAATTGAAGTGTTTTTGTCCTTGTCTCAATTTTATTAGAAACATACTTGACTGTTCTCAGATTGAATATCTAGAGCATGTCACAAAAGATATGATTTGCACAGACTTCAGTCTCTTGTTATAAGAAACTGATGAAATACTAAAAATTCTTTTCCGTTCTTAAGTGGAAATAAGAACTGTGGGATTTTGAGGAGTGATTGGCTAGCATAATTAAATTATTTGCATATCAGTTTATGAGTCAGTTAAAGAAATACTCGCTTTACATATTCATTGGATCTGTAAATTTAATTTTTTGACTGATATTTGGGAATAAATAGCACAGATTATTTAGAGACTGGTATAGCCAGGAAGTCTTCCCAGAAGGTATGAGACAGAATTGAAGCACAGAAAGACTGAATTATACTCACTGTTGGTGCTGGGACTGAAGCCATGAGTCACACGGTCTGACTGATGAATTCTTCACCATCTAACTACTCACTTCTCCTTGCTTGCTTTATACTTTTTCACAAGCATTAATTTACTAATCTCAGAGTTCATGGACCCCTTTTACCCTGCTTCCTAGTGTCTTATGTCCTCATTCATGTTTACATACCTCTGGTGAGTGGCTCACTACCTGATTCCATGACTAACACAGGAAAGCCTACTAATTTGTGGTTTGAATATTCGCTGCTTTTCCTCTGTCTGTGATGTGCAGACATCCAAACATTGTAGATTCAAGGCCTGTAGCCTTTAATGTTTCTGAATTTGGAGAAGTTTTTCCATATAATAAATGAAAAATGCAGTTTTCAAAGAATATTCTCTTTCTGAAATCTTTAAAATATGTAGAAGGCTTTCCATAGCATCCTGAAAAATCTGATACAAAATAAATATTGACATTTTATCAGGTTAAATGAGGATAAGCCACTGTTAAAATTCACATTTACTAAAAATTCCATTTTAGATGAATATTTAGAAAAATATGTGGAATATGGGATGCCTATACCCGTGGAGAATCTGTAACCAGTTCTGCTGCAAGATGTTTTTGTAGTTCTCATTTTCTCTATTCATGTATTCAGTCATTCACCACGCGTTTATTGAAGATGAACTGTATGATGCAAGAAACTAAAACAAGTTTTATTAAGTACAGTGATGGAAATGCTGTGATAGAGGATTGTATAGGAATACTAAGGGAGGGAGACGTGTCGGGGGGCATCTAAATCAGGAGTGGGGTGAGGAGAGGAAAATCGCCTAGCGTTTCCTGGAGAGCACAGTACTTGCTCTGACTTGAAGGGATGTCCAAATGGCTTTGCGTGCTGATTTGAGTTAAGCACTTCTCTGGCAGTGTGGGATGTCATTGGAAAGTTCACAGAACAAATCAGGAAGTTGGATTAGAAAGCTCTTTCAATAATCCAAATGATGAGTGTCCCAACAAGTAGTGAGATAGAGAGGAAGGGGCAGGCTTTATATTTATTTGTATATATATAATATATATATGTGTATATACACACACACATATATGTGCATATATCTATATGCACACACATATATGTATGTATGTGTATATTTTAATAAATTTTTCATAAAAACTTTTAATTAAGTCTATGATAAAGTCAATATTTTTGCCTCAGGTTGTATGAGGCAAGCCATTAAGTTCTAACAAGAATTCATTATTAGAATCACCAACCTTTGTCCTATAAATATTTAATTATATTGCTTGAAAGTAAAAGTGGAAGTCACTCAGTCATATCTGACTTTTTGAGACCCCCATGGACTGTAGTCCATGGAATTCTCCAGGCCAGGATACTGGAGTCAGCAGCCTTGCCCTTCTCCAGGGGATCTTCCCAACCCAGGAATCAAACCCAGTTCTCCTGCATTGCAGATGGATTTTTTACCAGCTGAGCCACAAGGGAAACCTTAAACCTTAGTTCTACATGTATTTAAAGGCTGTTGAAAACATATGGCAAATATAGAATTTTTTTAATTGAAGTATACTTGATTTACAATGTTATGTTGCAGGTGTGCAATGTAATCATTTAATATTTTTATAGATTATACTGCCTCTAAAGTTGTTATAAAATATTGGCTATCTTCCCTGTGCTATATAATATGTCTTTGAGTGAATGTGAGTGATAGTCGCTCCCCTGTGTCTGACTCTTTGCGACCCCATGGACTATATAGCCTGATCCTGGCAGATTTGCATTTCTCTGATGATTGGTGAGGTGGAGCATCTTTCCATGTGTCTGTATGTCTGTCTTTGGAAAAATTGTCTATTCAGGTCATCTGCCCACTTTTTGAATCAGGTTATTTGTTTTTTGATATTGAGTTGTATGTGCTGTTTATTTATTATGTATATTATTTATTGGTCATATCATTTCCAATTATTTTTTCCTGTTCGGTAGATAATCTTCTCATTTTGTCAGTGGTTTCCTTGGCTATGTAAAACCTTTAAGTTTAATTAGGTTCCATTTATTTATTTTTGCTTTTGTATCCTTTGCCTGAAGAGAAGATAGAAAAAAAAATTTGCTTCAGTTAATGTCAAAGAGTGTCCTACCTGTGTTTTCTTCTAGGAGTTTTATGATTTCCAGTCTTTAATTTAAGTCTTTCATCTATTTTGAGCTTTTTTTTTTTTTTTTCCTGTCTGGTGTGAAGAAATGTTCTAACGTCATATATTTTTACAGTTAGCTGTCCCGTTACCCCAGTATCACTCATTGAAGAGTCTGTCTTTTCTCCATTGTTTATTCTTGCCTCCTTTGTTGAGCCAGACCTGCCAGTTATAGGTCAGATGATCATAAGTGTGTGGGGTTTCTTCTGGGCTCTCTATTCTGTTCCGTTGATCTGTGTGTCTGATTTGGTGCCAGTACCATGCTGCTTTGATTATTGTCGCTTTGTCATATAGTCTGAAATCAGGGTGTATGATACCTCTAACTTTATAAAGATTACTCTGGCTGTTCAGGATCTTTTGTATTTCCATATAAATTTTAGGATTATCTTTTCTAGTTCTGTGAAAACTGTCATGGCTATTTTGATGGGGGTTGCTTTAAGTCTGTAGGTTGCTTTTAGCAGTATGGACATTTTAACAGTATAATTAGTTCTTCCAGTCCATCCATAGTGTCTTTCCACTTCTTTGTATCATCTTCAGTTTTCTTTATCAGTGCTTTATAGTTTTTAGAGTGTAGATCTTTTACTTCCTTGGTTAAGTTTATTCCTAGGTATTTTATTCATCATGATGCAATTTTAAATGTCATTATTTTCTTGCTTTCTCTGATAGTTCATTGTTGTTGTTGTTGTTTAGTTGCCAAGCCATGTCCAGCTCTTCATGACCTCATGGACTGCAGCACACCAGGCATCCCTGTCCCTCACCATCTCCCAGAGTTTGCCCAAGTTCTTGTCCTTGAATCGGTGATGCCATCCAACCATCTCATCCTCTGTCACCTTCTCCTTCTGCCTTCAATCTTTCCCATCAGGGTCTTTTCCAATATGTCAGCTGTTCACATTAGGTGGCCAAAGTATTGAAGCTTCAGCTTCAGCATCAGTCCTTCCAAAGAGTATTCAGGATTTATTTCCTTTAAGAGTAACTGGTTTGGTCTCCTTACTTTACAAGGCAATAT